ACCTGTTACCATGTTAACCCATATTTATATCGTATTTATTTAGGTCCGTTACGAAATAGACAATATTGGCCCATTCCCTCAGAACCCACTCCACAGAGGGTCAACAGTTTAAATAATCATAACTGAAGTCAAAATATATTTAAATAATCGAACAATGGCTGAGGGTATTAGTCTGTCGACAGAACCGATTTATAATTTTTAGCTTATTAATTGAGGTATCACTTTTATACATGGAGGATGCACTCTCAAAATCCTTATTTACACACATACAAAAACACATTTATCATTTTTTGTTTTCGACTTGGCACCTTTTATTTTCTTTTTTTTTTTAACTGATAACTCAACAGACAAAGTTCGTTGTCTGCGTATATATTTTATATGTTCAAAGGTTATTTTCAAATCAACACAACGCAACGATTGCATGTTGAGAAATATATGTGACTAAGAATAACAAAATTAAATAAAAGCATGTATTAATTTGATATAAAAATAATCTATTAGCTATCATATAACTAAATCACAAATACACAGTATTAAAAAAACAAATTGTGCAATCATTATAACTAATTTCTTCAAATTAAATTAATTCATGAAATTTCAAAACTTAATTGACAATTTTTTCAAAGTCATTGAAGTACCAACATTTGTAAGCATGTAGATTTCTAACTGAGTAAAAACTCTTTCTTCTTTCTTTCCCATCAAAATCTTTGATTCATTAAAAATAACACACACAATTTATATATGACGACAATGCTGATAACCGACTACCTACCACACACTTGTGTATGAATATATCAAAACACACAGTACTTTTCCTCTATATATGACAGCAGACTTGTCATACAGATCCCCCAACAAAATGTTGCGTTCGAGGTCTAAATTAATTGATCTAAAAATAATTTTTTTTTAAAAATTTCCTTTACGATACACGCGTAGCGTCGGGCCAAAAATTAGATACGTATGCATAGAGAATATTTATAAACATTGGAAATTACAGACAATTTAAAGAATCAATTCATGAGAATTCAAAAATGGATAAAGGAATTCATTCGAACTGAAAATGAAAAGAATGAGGCTAAGTTTCAATGTCGCTGCCGTAAAACATTTTGTCTAATGGCACTCAGCACGCGCCACCCAAGAATGGTTACAAAATTAGGTTCCTCGCTTCATTTCCAGCGCACAATGTCCACCAAAATCTCCTATTGTATCTGGAGTATTTTGGAAAGCAAGATTGGCACTAAAAGATACCAAAGTGTCGATCACCTAAAGCAAGCGGTTTGCCGGGAATGGGCCAAAATACCGCAGAGTAAGATTTGGGCAGTGTGTGACGGTTTCATTGACCGTTTGAAGGCCATAATTCGTGCCAAAGGTGGCCAATTCGAACAAATCTAAATTTATTCTAAAATTTGATGCTATTTCCAACATTTTTTGCTTTCATTTAATAAAATTAAAAAAATGTAGAAATTATGGCGTTTGACTTTGTTGCAGTTTTTTTTTATCTTACCCTGTATATGTCCTAATATTGATCTGCATAGTGTTAACATCAGAGTCCATGTAAGCATGTGCATCTATCCATGCATTCTCGTAAGTAAATTACAGGTCCCATATATGGTTTTTTTCACACGAATTTATGCGTTGGTAGTGTAGGGTATCATATGGTCTGCACTGCCCTTTAAACATTATCCGATGGTCATCCAAAATGGTAAGCTCATACCCAGTTCTAAACTTTAACCCCGTGCAAAAAATACCGCCTCGATTAGTGTAGAGCACTTGCAACATCAGGAAAAAATCTGTTTGGTCCATTTTATCCCTTAAATAATCTCCAAAATTAATTATGCGGCTCGACAATATTTCTAGGTGTTCTAAACTTTTTGGCTCAATCAAACTTAAAATAGAAGGAGACAAGAAAAAGAGTTGAAATGAAGGAATATTTACCGGTTTCGTCATTGGTTCCATTTTTAAAACAACTCTAAGAGACTGTTTCCAAATGAACTTGGAGCACATGCACGAATCTCAGATATAGGCTAGTGTTCGATCGCTTGAATAACTTCTTCGCCCTCAAACATACAATAAGAATCTTTCACAAATATCTATTTTTTTTTGAATTGGCTTTGCCAAAAGTTGTAAGCCTTTAATTTCTCTTTCTGGCAGTGTCACATCTATGCCTCTTTTTCTCTACAAATTTTAAAAGAATATTCATCAAATTCCCCGAGGACAATGAAAAAAAAAATACTGAAACCTAAAACTAAAATGGGTTTGTTAGGGCAATTGATAGCTGCAAATTATGAGTCGACCTATACCGCATTCTGGAAAACGTTTTTCACGTTTGGGTTTGTTAGGGCAATTGATAAATGCAAATTATGAGCCGGCCTATACCTCATTCTGGAAAACATTTTTCACGTTTTTAATAATTCGAGCCCAATACGAATTGAGACAATTGTAGTGAATGGGATGTACTCCAAGGACATCCTTCATACTCTATTGAATTTTTGACGCCGATAACTGCATCAGTATAAATAATATTCAGCCAGGCGTGATAAACAGTTCGCTTGTTAGACTGTTAATGATAGCTCAATTTAATGTTGGACATACTTCTTTAGATGCTGAAGGTCCTTTCTGATACGTTTGATACAAGCGAACTGTTATTGATAGCTCCGTTTAATGTCGGACCTACTTATTTAGAAGCAGAAGGTCCTTATGTCTGGATGGAAAAGTTCTTTACTTCATACGTAGCTATAGACCAGCCTTCTTAGATGTCTACAAGGTATCCTTGTCTGAATCCCAAGTGCTACCGACTACGATTTGAGGACGCTGTTCCTACTTTTCTAATTCGTCACAGACAGTCTTGGCTTGAAAGTGCGACGTAAACATACTCTCGTTTATTAGCCTCTAGAATCTCGGGCTACTTAGTGTTCTGAAAGATATGTCCCTCGAACTAAACCAGCAGCTACATTCTCATATCCGGAGGCCATATGATCAAAAGTGTGACTATTGATTGAATTGCGAATAAGGTTATTTTTGTCACTATGTGTGACACCTGAAATAAGATTTCGTCTGCAAATACAGATCAGGAGGTATTTGCAGGCGAAATCTTATTTTAGATGATTTGATGGCTTCAATAGTTGTTGCTTGACATCTAAAATTTAAAACAGTTTCCCACTTTGATAATGGCGCAAATCTATGCCTAACCAGTAAAGAAAGTCTTAAAGTCGGGAGGGGCCGACTTTTTGATACCCTACTCCACTTTGCTAATTTAGTAGAGCTTCGCATAACAATTAAAAGTTTTTATGGGAGAATTCAATATGATTATAATTATAATTTAAAGTTTAAAGGACTAAATAGCATTTGTATATTTTAAATTCGGACTTGTATTGCCCATTTGGTGCACAATTAATTTGAAATCAGATAAAGATATATATGGGAGCTCTATCTAAATCTGAACCAATCTCGATAAAATTTGGCAAAGATATTTCTGAGCTGTATTTGATTTATTTCCCTGAATATCGTTGTTACGGAGTGCATATTACGGCTGTGGGTAACAAATATGACAAATCGGATGAACAATATATATGGGAGCTATAGCTATATCTGAACCCATCTTCACCAAATTCGACATACTAGCTTCTAGACTTAATTCGGTCGTAAGTGCCAAATTTCATTCCATTTCGGCAAATATTAGACGTTTGGTGCACCATCAAAATAAATCGGACGAAGTTATCTATGGGAGCTATATCCAAATCTGAACCGATCTCGATAAAATTTAGCAAATGTATTTCTGAGCTGTATTTGATATATTTCCCCAAATATTGTTGTTACATAGTGCATATTACGGCAGCGGAGGACAAAAATAACAAATCGGATGAACAATTTATATGGGAGCTATAGCTATATCTGAACCGATTTCGATCAAATTTGGCATACTTTTTTTCAGGTCCAATCTGATCGTACGTGCAAAATTCCATACTATTCGGACTGGTATTACACGTTTGATGTACAATAAAAGGCAATCGGACGAAGATATATATGGGAGCTATATCTAAATTTTGACCGATTATCTCCAATTTCAATAGGGTTCGTCCTTGGGCCAAACAAATGATTTGTGCAAAATTTCATCTGGATAGGGCAATAAATGCGAACTGTACTTTGTTTACAAAAATACATGGGCAGACGGACGGACGGACGGACATGCATAAATCGACTCAGAATGTAATTCTATGCAGATCATCAAAAGGAACTATGGGTCTATCTCGTTTCCTTTTGTCTGTTACAAACAAATGCACAAAGACATAATACCCTGATCACCTTGTGGTGTATGGTATAAAAACGTCAGGTTCCGTATTTCGTAGAAGACCATGATCCTCTTATGTACCATCATGTATCCTTCGGTATATATGTTTTACTTATCGTAATATTATTACTAAGTTCAAAAATACCCTACCAATCTGAAAACAATGTATTTCAAAAAATATTCAAAAACGAAACATTGTAAATAATTATTTTGTTTTTCTTATTTTTTTCTTCTTTATGAACAAAATATTAATCTTGTTCACATTATTATTTAAAAATAGAATAAATTAGATGCATTTACAAAAGTAGATGTGTTGTCGTCAAGAACAAAGAAATTAAAAATTCACTATCTGTAGATGCAAGTTTAAAAAGGAATGGAAAAACAGTTCAAGGTGGTTTCTTTACATTTTGAATTTTTACATAAATTCTCTCGGCCCCCGATGTGCTTATCACTACAGCCACTACTTTAGACAAACATAGAAATGCAATAAAATCACACACATCTTTGAATATGTATATACAAAATGAGTGCATCAATGCAAATGCAAGTAGCGAACGTACAAGAAAGCGAACGTTTATATTTCGATTTCGTTGCGTTTTCAATGCTTTTTGGATTGCATTCAACTGCAAACTCATATTTTTCTTTTGCTTTCTAATTTCAATCTGTCTAATTTGTTGTCACTTTTTCTTTCATTTTCATTTTGTTTGTGTAGGTGATGTTGTCTTCTGTTCGGGCGCCGCTGCCACTCCCATTACCCTCATCAATGCCATGGTTGAGCATGGCAAATCGAGTAACCTGAAAGATATCACTGTCTGTCACATGCACACCGAGGGTCCTGCTGCCTACACTGAACCCGGAAATGACAAGATTTTCCGTTCGAACTCCTTCTTTATGGGCGGCAATGTGCGCAAAGCTGTTGCCGAGGGTCGTGGTGACAACTTTTCCATTTTCTTGCATGAAATTCCACAATTGTTCTACAAGAAAATCGTTCAACCCGATGTTGCCTTGATCCATGTTTCACCACCCGATCGTCATGGCTACTGCTCGTTGGGTACCAGTGTGGATTGTGTCAGAGCTGCTCTGTTGCACTCCAAGAAAATTATTGGTAAGTTTTAGCTGAAAAATACACAGAAAATGGGATTTATTATCAAATTTGTTTTCATTTTAGCCCAAGTCAACAAACAAATGCCTCGTACCTTTGGTGATGCTGCCATCCATTCATCCCATTTCGATTATATGACTGAAATCGATGTACCACTACCTCAACACGGCGGCAAGGGTCCCAGTGATGTTGAAGCCCAAATTGGCAAATTGATTGCCGAGAATTTGGTCCATGATGGTGCCACCTTGCAGATGGGTATCGGTAACATTCCCGATGCTGTCTTGAATGCCCTGCACAACCACAAGGATTTGGGTATCCATTCGGAAATGTTTGCCAACGGTGTTGTCGATTTGGTTAAGGCCGGCGCCGTAACAAATCGCATGAAGAAAATGCATCAGGGACGTATTGTTGGTTCCTTCTTGATTGGCAATCAAGCCTTGTATGATTTTGTCAATGACAATCCCTTCATTGGTATGTAATTTCCAATGATCTGTTTCCATATATATTCTGAAATGTTTAACGCTCGTTCTTTCCCTTTTCCAGAAATGTATGCCATCGATTATGTCAACAACACCGGTGTTATCAAACAACAACCTCGTATGACTGCCATCAACTCCTGCATTGAAGTCGATTTGACCGGTCAAGTTTGCTCGGATTCCATTGGTACACGTTTCTTCTCTGGCTTTGGTGGTCAGGTTGATTTCATTCGTGGTGCCGCCGAAGGTGTTGACGGCAAGGGTGTACCAATCATTGCCATGCCCTCCGTTACCAACAAGGGTGAAAGCAAAATTGTGCCCATACTCAAGCCAGGTAAGAATTAAATAGCATTTTCAAATATCTTTATATTTCTTTAACAAAAATGTATTATTTTTTTCCAGGTGCCGGTGTTGTCACCTCTCGTGCCCATGTCCACTATGTTGTCACCGAACACGGTATTGCTTCTCTGTTCGGCAAGAATATGCGTCAACGTGCTTATGAACTCATTCAAATTGCTCATCCCGATCATCGCCAGACCTTGGAGAAACAAGCCTTTGAACGTTTGAAGGTTATGCCCTCAAAGGACTAAATTAAATGAAGACATGTAATAGCGCATCATGTTTTAGGGATTTTTTGTTTTCGATCTTTAAGGCACATACACACCAACCCACGCGTACCCACACACTATCCAGATGTTTTGCATATTAATTTGATTTGTTTTGTTTGTAACAAATCAAATCGTGTTCTATCCCCTTAGATTGTCTTAAGTTTAATTAAGCCATAAAGAAAATGTCATAACCCACAAATGAAGTCGTTTGACGATAATAACACCAATCGCGATTGATTGATTTGAAATTAAAGGTGTCATTTAGATTCTTTTTTGTAATATGATTTAATGAATAGTCAACATTGTTCAAATACCAAAAAAATGAAAAAGAAATTAACAAGCGAATAAAGTTTAAACCATTCCTATTTAAAAAAAAGGTTAATTTTATTTTCTTAAAAAAAACAAGGTGAAACTCATTTGAAAAATGCATTATTTGTTTAATTCCAAATGGAGATCATGATTGTTTGTAGATAGTTGAATCTACGCCCCGAATCTTCTCGAGTTCTACTCATTCAAAACCTCGGTCCATTCAGTAAAAAGTGGAGTTGAATTCAAGAATATATATAATTAAAAAACTGTTTTTGCTGAATTTCAAAAATTTTAAAAGATAACTTCAAGCAAAAGTTGTGAATTTCAAAAGAATTACAAACCAACTCAAGAAATGGATAAGGTATTAATAAACCAATTAAAGACAACTCCAAGCATTAATGAATGAAATTTATCCAGGGCTCTATATTGACGTATGTTTTAAAGTATTTCTAGACAATTTGTTAACTGAAACCTTTAAAGAAATTCAAAAAGGTTTTAAATTCTACAGCAGGACTTGGATGTTTAATAAATTTTAATACGGTTTCGAAATGAATGCATTTTTTAGTCGTCGATTTTCAACTCAATTTTTAAAAGGACTTGAGGACGACTCAAGTTTTGATATTTTTAAAGGTGTTTTAAAAAATAAAAAAGGATGTTTAAACTAATAAATTACTGTTCGAAAAATTAAAAAAAAAGATTTAACAAGTTGCTTCAGTTAAGGATAGCAACGATTTTCTTCGATCTTCGTACATAGGAATATTTTATATCGGTCCACACCTTCTTGTACCGTTCCATACAGAATTAAAGTTTTAAAAAATTTTAATCCTCATAAAATGCACAATATTTTACATTTAACATCGAACAATGCTATATTTTTACCAATATTAAGTTTAGTGTAAATATGGAACTGATCGGTCAACTCCTTCTGCAACTTCTCCACAAAAGGTCCATAATTTCAGTTAGCTGCATGGAGTATTCCTAGTCGAAAGCGTCGTCGACTCACATTCGGGAAAATACGTATAGAAAAATACAAAACGGCGTTAGAAAACACAAAAAGAAACATTTAAGAAAATTTATATTATCTCAAAAAACGATAAACAAAAACATCTGCTTTTAAAATTATGACGTTTCACAGTTGTTTCTGTGAATCTTTCTTAGATTTATTGTGTTTTTATTGTTTAAAGACGGTTTAATCCACTGTTTTTTTTTTTCGTTTAACGGGTATACGCTTCACTTAATGTGTATTTCCGTTATAAATGCCCACTCAACAAAGCACATGGTGTACAGCATTGCCAAACGCAAAAACAAGCAGTAAAATGCTTAATGAACGCAGCTCATCGGCATGAGTTATTGCCACAAACAAAATGTCATCTGTTTCTTTTTAAATTCAATAAATCTGGGAAATGTGGATATTTTCCTGCGATAAAGAATAGGCATTTGTAAATTTGCAAGATGTAGTATATTTTATGAATGTGTATATTTTGATTTCAGTTTAAAAGGAATGTTACTTTTTCCACGATTTCCTAACAATTTCTTGCAGCGTTGTAAGATTTACAAGAACTAAACATTAAAAGGTATTAAAATTAAAAATTAAAATTATTGTTTTTTTTCGAATATTTGTTCCGCATTTTGAATTTAACAATCCAAGGCACAAAACTGTGATTGTGGTATTGTTATTTACTATAACAATTTTCTATGTGGTTGTTGTTGCCCACACTTTTACCATTTAATTTGAGTGAAGTTTCTCTTTTGCTGATTTAATTTCACCATAAAATTAAAACTAACCGCCGTTTTCGCTCATATTGCAAATAGAAAAAAATTGTATAAAACTTTTAAAAATTATAAATTACATATAAAGAGTGCGTCGAATTTTAAACAAGCTAAGATCAATTCATAAGCTTGGGTCGGATATGCACAGGGCGAGACAAAAAACTGCAACAAAGTCAAACGCCACAATTTTTACATTTTTTTGAATTTTATTGAATGAAAGCAAAAATGTCGGAAATAGCATCAAATTTTAGAATAAGTTTACATTTGTTCGAATTGGTCACCTTTGGCACGAATTAAGGCCTTCAAACGGCAAATGAAACCGTCAGACGCTGCCCGAATGTTGCTCTGCGGTATTTAAGCTCGTTCCCGGCGAAGCGCTTGCTTGAGGTGATCGACCCTTTGGTATTTTTTAGTGACAACCTTGCTTTCCACAATACTCCAGACACAATAGTCCAACGGATTGGTATCCGAAGATTTTGGTGGCCATTGTGCGCTTTTTAACCATTCTTGGATGGCACGTGCTAAGTGCGATGATGCTGAGTCCTGTTGGAATGTCCAAGTTCAGCGTCCAAAATGTTTTGGGTGCCCAATACTTTAGTACACCCTCAAGAATATTTTCGCAAAAATATTCGGCATTTATTTTGATGCCACGGTCGATTAATACGATCGGAGAGCAACCATCGGCTGATATGGCGGCCCACACCATCACCATGACCGGCGCTTAAGTTTTAGTGGCCAAACGAAGGTGCACATTTTCAGCTGACCTCTTTGGCAAGTAAACATGATCCTTTTGTTTGTTTACAAACTGCTGGACAGCGAAGGTTTTCTCATCGGAGAAAACCAAATTCGGCAGTTCTCCACTTTCGGCCAAGCGAAGCAACTCTAGATATTTTGAGACTACCCCGAGCTCATTTTTTAATATTTGCCGAATAGAATATTGCGATATGTTCAGCTGACGAGCCATTTTTCGGCCACTGCGATTCGATTAAGTCGCTTCTTTACTTTTCGAACCATTTCTGCTGATGTTGCTGTTTTCTTCCGTCCACTTCCTTGACGTCGGGCTACACTACCAGTATCACGGTAGTACGAGACAAAAAAGATTTATTCACATTTAAATGCTGGAGTGCCCTAACGATAGCCACTTGTGGTTTTCCAGCCAAATATAAAGAATAAAGGAATGTTTTGGAAAATTCCTACCAAAATGCTTTTGTACGCTTGTAAACAATATAATGAGCGGTCACTGGAATAATTTTAACAGCTGTCGGACGAGTGACTTAGAAATGCAGCAGTCTGAAGTTGGTTACAGTTTTTTAATCCACCCTGTACATCTATAAGGCTGTACATGGAACTCGACATAAGTGTTTTAGAAATAATAGAATGTGCAAAGTATGAACCGAATCGAATACTACCTTCGAGAGATATCGTGCACCAATCAGCTAGACTGACAAAAAATGTTTGCATTTTCAAATAAAAAAAAAAAACAAAGTAAATATCTCAAGATAACATGGTCTAGACATTCGAAACTTAGTTGCAGATGTATAATTCAAAGTTTGAAAAATAACCAAAACTCGTTATTTTTTGTTCAAAATTGCGTCAAGACTTTCAAAATTTCGTTTATATGAAACGAATTCTCAGAAAATTATTAAACAAATCATTTATTAATTGAAGTACCTCAAATTTCTCTTATCCTGACGGGCCATTAATCAATATATTTAATTAATATTGACAAATAAAAACAAAACTTTATATTGCGATTACAAAAATACTGTAGTCATCAATGAAAAGGAGTGCATTCATAAGGTATCTTATCTGTGTGTCTTTTTTTTTTTTTTTTGAAAAGGTCAATATATGTTTTGAAAATAAAATAATTAATCTTATACATTTGGCAAAGTTGATATCTGTTTTCCTTTCAACTGCCTCCACCGTGATTGTAGCACCGACTATTTCGTTTTGAAAAATTCCCACCAAATGTAAAAAACCAAAATAATAAAATCATTTATGACGAGGATACCAAATATTTTCGAAATCTACGCCACGTGATGTATTTTGATAATTGTCACAATATAGAAAATAATTATTTTAAAGTTGTCATAATGATAACGGGAAAGCGTCAATCAAAACAATGGTAAAAAAATAATCAATACTCCGACAAGTAGTTGACTGGACTATTCACCTTTATACATATACATGTAGAATGGTGGCCTCAATAACTCTGACGTCTTCAGGTCGAGGGCGTTGAATCACATTTTTTTTTTTCAAAATTATACCTTTGACACAATATATTATTTTCAAAATTTATATTCATTTATCCATGTCAAAACTTTATAAAGGAAATATTTATCAAAAAATATTTTTCATTTCCTATATTTTCAAAAAGCATTTTGGTGAGAATTTTCCAGAAAAAAGTTATTCATGATGGAATTCAAGCGTGATAGTCTGATTTCTTTAGAGCACTCCATCATTTACATGTGTATAAATCTTTTATGTCTCGTATCATCGCTCGTTATCGTGATACTAATAACGTAGCCCGACGTCAAGGAAGTGGACGGAAGTAAACAGCAACATCAGCAGAAATGGTTCGAAAAGTAAAGAAGCTACCTGATCGAAACCCGCGTCGCAGTGACCCAAAAATGGAACATATCGCAATATTCCATTCTGCAAATATTGAAAAAATGAGCTCGGGGTAAAACCATTGAAATTCCAAAAAGTGCAAGAACTTACACCGCAAAAGAAGAAAATAGACTCAAAAGAGCTAAATAGTTGATTCGCTTGGCCGAAAGTGGTGAACTGTCGATTTTGGTTTTCTCCGATGAGAAAACATTCGTTGTCCAGCAGTTTGTAAACAAACAAAATGATTGTGTTTACTTGCCAATAAGGTCAGCTGAAAAAGTGCACCTTCGGTTGGCCACCGGAACTAAAGCACCGGCCATGGTGATGATGTGTCGATGGTCGTTCTCCGCTCGTAATAATCGACCGTGGCATCAAATTAAATGCCAAATATTATCGCGAAAATATTCTGGAGGGTGTATTTAAGCCTTGGGCATGCAAACATTTTGGCCGCAGACCTTGGACATTCCAACAGGACTCAGTACCCTCGAACTCAACACGCGCCACCCAAGAATGGTTACAACAAAATGAGGTTCCTCGCTTCCATTCCAGCACACAATGACCACCAAAATCTCCGGATACCAATCCGTTGGACTATTGTGTCTGGAGTATTTTGGAAACCAAGGTTGGCACTAAAAAATACCAAAGTGTCGAACACCTCAAGCAAGCGCTTCGCCGGGAATGAGCCAAAATACCGTAGAGCAAATCAATCTGAACTTATTCTAAAATTTGATGCTATTTCCTACATTTTTTGCTTTCATTCAATAAAATTTAAAAAAAAAAATGTAAAAATTATGTCGTTTGACTTTGTTTCAGTTTTTTTTACCTCACCCTGTATAATTGTTCTAGACCACCAGAAGATTTTATGTCGATTTTCCCATGTCCCTCTGTGGAAATCACTATAGCTTCCAAATGGAATGAAGTAGGAAAACTAAATTTCACTTGAATGTATTTTAGGTCTATAGAATTTTTGGCATAGAAAATTGTATCGAAATAAGTTTTCGTATAGTCCCCATATAAGTGTAACTCCAGATATTCGGTATTTTCACCGAAATGATTCTAAGAGTGCCACGTCTTAGCATAGCCACTACATAACGGTACCCACATTTTGAATAAACACCCTATTCACGAAAATGTTTTCAAATTCGGTATTTTTAATGGGTACCACTTCTTACAACAGAAAAATTTCTATATAGGTCCACGTCTTCGTATATATAGCCCCCATGTAACGGTACCTCCCTATATAATTTTAGCGACATTTTTTGACTGAATTATTTAAAAATTGGAATTTGGGTTGACAATTATTGTATAGAAAATAATCCACATAGAACATTTTCATATATCCTCTATGTTTTTACAAGCCCCTCCAGAACTAAAAACAAGGATTTTTTAACAAAAAATAAATAAAGGACCCCATCCGAAAATTCTATAAACACTGTTTTTTATGAAAACATTTCAAGAAACTTTGCAGATACTCTTGATCAAAAATATTGGGTTTTTTTTACAAAGTCTTCCGGCAAAAGGTAAATATTTTGAAATATTTCCAAGGACCTCTTGTACGAAAATCGTGGTTTTTAAGGAGTATTCTTATTTTAAGATATTTTTCGGACATGGATTAAAAAAAATCCGTTAAAACATGTGGGTTTTAAGAATATTTCTACAAGTTCCTTCTTTCAAGCGTTCATTTTTAAGACAATGTCCTCAAAACCACTGACCGAAAATCATGAGTATTTTTACAAGGCCGCCAGGACTAAAAGTCTTTTTACAAAAGAAATTCAAGAACATCCAGGCCAAAAAATCAAAAATTTCTTGTATAATTTATATTTTATTTCTATTTCTATTCTTAATATTTTTCATGCAAAGAAATAGAAGATTCTGTTGGAACCTTCTTTAAAGACTTTGTTGACAAGGTTTGCCTGTTGCTGCTATTCAATAAATTTTTTTTTATCAGATCTACATAAAAAAGTATATGCTTTGATGTTAAAAATACGCCCACGAATAGTTTTGTTTCCTCAAGAGTAATACCAAATACAAATATAGGTTAATTTGAACCCCATTATTTGCGATGATGCGAATTGTTGTATAAAAAAAAATTGCGTCTGTTATGCGATTAATAGTCATGCTAATAAAGATCGTGTGTCTCTGACCACATTAGCAGTCTTATGCTAATCAATATGTGTAAGTATCTATGGTAATAACCAACAAATATTGGCAAACACAATCAACTGTCAATCAAAACTGTTGTTGATCGATTAACATAGACGTCTACTATTTGATTTAAAAAAAAAAAATAAATAAATGTAAAATAATGTTTAAGTTGTTTGTTTTTCAAATTTTTATTTTGGATTTATTATTTTTCTTTCGTATAATGGAATTTTTTCTTATTTAGCTTATGGTTTACTACAAGTTAAGTAAGAAAAGAAAATTTGACATAGCATTTTATAAAAATGGTATGATATATGTTTTTGTTGTATTGTTTTTGTGGTGTATATAAAAATGTCTAGCGAATCGGCGTGTGCATGAAACATAGCACCACACAAATTTATCAAGGGTGGCACCAACGACACACATACATATCTCATCATGAATTTTACACTTTCGGCTTTTGCTAACATTTCAATGAATGAATGAATACCTGAATATAGTTATGTTAGTTGTTGTTGTTGGTTTTTTGTTTGTTAACAATTATTTTGTCTTGTATTATTGTTGATTGGTTACTGTTGCTTAAGAAGATGTTGGAGTTAAGTAACTGGGGTTGTTTTTTTTTTTTTTGTTGTTGTTCTTTAAGAAAATTTCAAAAGAATTTTCCAAAACCGTTAAAGCGGTTTTCTGTCCAAAATTTTGTTTACAATTGTTGTATATTGTAGTAAAATTTAAAAAAGAGTATGCCTAACATAAAAACATTGTTTTGTTTTGAAATAATCAAGAAATTTGGAAAAGGATTTAAGAGAATAAAACAGGAACAAAGGAACTGCTAGCGGGCACCATCAAAAACTGTTCACACCTTACGCCCATGCATTCGGGTTTGGGAGGAAATTTTATTGTTATTGTTATAGTTTGTCTTTGTGTTGATTTGAAATGCACGAGTAAAGGGTCAGTATTAAGATGTCCGTCCAATTTGATTTTGTCTTAAAAATAGAGAGTTGCTTAATGTGTTCTTGTTGTAGTTTGGAGGAGGTGTAGGTTTGCAATCACATCTGCGCTGCTAACAAACCCCCCGGGTTAGGAGTGTTGTTGTTGTTTTTTATCATCTTTTTATAAATCGGTTACCTACTAACTGAGTTGTTGTTGCTTTATAAAAAGAAGAGAGGTAGTTTTTGTATTCTAATCTGATTTATTTCTTCTTATTTTTGGCATTTTTGCCATCGGCATTATTCTCCACTTTTTGCTTCTTCTTTTGGGGTTGTGCCTCATCTTCTTCCTCTTCGCCATCCTCCTCTTCGTCAGACTCATCATCATCCATATCTACAACTTCGACTTCATCTTTGATGTTTTGGCCATGAATGTAAACGGGACCATTACCCTTGATCAGTTTGAAGACGGCAGATGTTTCATAGAATTCAATATCGGGATTGACGGCGCGAGTTTCACCAGCTTTTAAAACGGCAATGGGAATTTTCAAATTGTCTTTAATGGTATGGACCTGCAAAAGAAAATTGAGACATATATTAATTTATTGTTATTATCATCGATGCGCACTTAGAGTAGATAGATTAGGAAAAACATAAATCAAAATAAATTGGTGTAACAATAAAAAAGCAAGAAGAACTCCCCCATCTACATCATAAAACAATTTGCTTTTATTAGCTTTTCAACTCAACGAGGGAAACATTTTGATTACATTTGATAGATAAGGTGGTGGCGGTTATGTCAAGTGTTTGTGCAGCAGCGTCGACTGACACCTACTTCTACCCCCCAAAAACCCCATTATCACGTGTTTGCGTATCATGGTAATCATAGATTTGAAAAATGTAGGTTTATTTCATGTCAAACTAGATATGACTGGATAAACTTTCTTCATTTTACCCTTCTTTGAAGAGTGCAATCACCCTTGGTTTATGATATATATGATAAAAGTAGTCATATAAAAAATCTTCAAGAAAAAAATCAAGGCCAAAATGTTGGTTTCAAGGAAAATAACAAAATTGTAAAGCCAATCTTATTTTGTTTTGGAGATCTCCACACCCAAATTATAAAAACTTACCGAGAAAAATGCAAGATTGTTATTAACGTTATTCAGCAAAATTATATCTAAACAATTTGATTTTTAATTCATAAAAAACCCTAATAAAACGAGCAAAATTTCCAGAAAGTTTATAATTTGTATAGCATACTTCTAGGGGCAAATGAAAATCTGCTGACTTTAAAACTTCTTTTTAATGATAAGTATTCGGTTCGACCATGAACTATCATTCAAGCTGGACAATTAGCATGGAGGAGAAGTAGAAAGAAAGTCCAAAGAACTACTATTCCTCAATGGGTAAAGGTTCTCCCACGCATTTGAACGAAATAATTGTGGGGAAACCACGGCATTCTGACCAGTCTAAAAATTAATTTACAATGATAATAATCAAACCGCCTTCTGAAGAGAATTGCCTTATCAGCGTTTAAGCTTCTAGTTCTATTACAAACATGGATAACTTCCTACTACTAAGGGAAATACCATAAGACAATTTCTCACACAGAAGAACAAATGTTCGACCGATTCAGTCTCCTCCCAGTTTTGATCATTCCTACATTAGTCGGTGTAAGTCACCGCCCTACTTGGAAGTCATGGCCCATTTAATTTCAATAGAAATAATGGGTTTCTCCATTATAAAGAAAGCTTCTAAACTCGTAAGAGCTCTTTAAAATATTGACGCAGGACTTGTACTATATATGTCGATAGCTAGGCGACCCTTACGTCAAATCGCATACCATCTCTTCAAGAGCTATTGTTGATTGCAAATCAACTCAAATATAAGTAGATAACCTCGTCAAACATGTCAAACTTTGCTGGGATTTGCAGATCAACCACCAACACTTAGCTACCGTCGTACCCGGCTACATTAGCTGATGAAACGATAAGCAATTTATGGCGTTGTTCAATTACCATTAAGCTACTACCTTTCAAAGATGGCAGATGGAGTCTTTGTGTTAGACTTCCAAATCCAATAATTTCGTATGCTAGAACGGGCTCCGTTCTGTCTCCTAAAAATAGGGATTAAAAGTACAGAAAGGTCGGGCAGTTGCCTCGGATACCTTTCACCCCGGAGAAAAATGCGGAATAGAAAATGAAATATTAATAACATAGGTGTTAACTATTGATTGCTGCGGACAATATAAAGAGTCACATTAAGTTGCACAAACATCGGAACTTAAAAAAATATATGAAAATCTTACTAGTCTGTTGCAAATTTTTAAAACGAATCATTAGCCAATCACTGCGACAGTTCTGGAATGCTCTAGAAGAGGTTATATCGTTTGTCAAAATCTGTTGGGTCCCTTGACACTGCAACATATCTAGCAATGAATCGGCCAGACGCGGATCTAAAGATTGAGAGCTCAGTGAAGCCATCCTTATGTCACTTTTTCCAAGTACTGCATAAGCATTACATTGGGAGATTTCAACAGAACTGGCTAACTAGAAGGGGGTGTAGTGTCTCCAAAAAAATTTGGCCGGTGAACTCCGAAAGGAGATTAAGGTCACTTATATCCATGACAAAGCTGTACTTGAAGCTTGTGATAGGCCTAATTACAGAACACTGCAACATAAAGGCCATGATATCCAAATGGAGGGTGACGTCACTGAATACTGCAGGCTTTGTCAGGACGAGGAGGAAACTGAAACGGTGGGGCACTTACTCTGCCACTGCCCAACTCTTATAGGAGTGAGATAGAGGCTACTGGGTAAGCAAATTCTGCCAGACTTGTCCTCCCTCTCTGACATCGAGCCAGCGGCCATTCTTCAGTTAGCCAGAAGACTAAAATGGCTAAGGGCGACACGCTGATACACCGTGGATGCAAACCTACTACTAACTTCTCTACTTTTCATTCAGATTCTCGCTTCTTCACTATCCGTTATTCATTTCCTTCTCTTCTCTTTATTCTATTCTCCTATCTTCCTGAATTAGAATGAACACAATGGACCAATAGGTCTCGCAGTGGAGGGATTGTTTTTACAACCGCACATCCTTTAACCTAACCTAACCTAGCCAGACATTCCTAACTCCAGCCTAAAATATATTTTTCATACTTCTTGATTTATTTTTTTATCATTCATACATTTGTGTTGTATATGGCTGGAACTATTTTTAATTTCGTATAAACAAAATTGTAAGGATTGATAGAGATACGTTGTTGATATTCTCATATTTCAATAGCTTCCATTCGCTACCAAAATAAGCCCAAAACTTTCCATTTGAATTGAAAACATAAAAAAGCACACAAAAATACTTAATATTGTTTTATCTTTTTGTTGGAGAGAAATATTCATTGTAGACAATTATCGATATTGGCACTAAGTTAGTTATTCCTCAAGTTTAGTATTAGGTAATATTCAAAATTTTCCATTCGCAAACAACTTGTGAATACAACTTTCCATTTGATTTGTAATCACAACCATTAAAAATTGCCAAAATTTTCCATTCGCAAATTGAATATTCTAAAATTATTTCATATTCTTCACAACAAAAGCGGAAATATTAAACCTAACATAAATCTCTACTTGCAAAATTTTCCACTCAAAAACAGAATTTGCACAAAACATTTTCATTTAATAGGAAATTATTTATAATTTTTTGTCAAAAATCGTAAAAATTCTAAAAAAATCAATCTTACTTATGAATCGCTGTCATTTTTCTGCGTTTTTCCAATTTTTAATTTATAAAAACTCCCCAAAATTTTCCATTCGCAAATTGAATATTCTAAATTATTTTATATACTTCACAACAAAAGCGGAAATGTTAAACATAACATAAATCTCTACTTGTTCCATTTTCCTAACATTAATTTTACACAAATTCCCCAAAATTTTCCACTCAAAAACAGAATTTGCACAAAACATTTTCATTTAATACAAAATTATTTATAATTTTTTGTCAAAAATCGTAGAAATTGTAAAAAATGCATTTTCCCAAATTTTATTTTATAAAAACTCCCCAAAATTTTCCATTCGCTTGCTGGATTTGTACAAAAACTTTCCATTTCAACTATGTATATTTCATTTAAATCATATATTGTTAAATAAATAAACAAATTCTGGAAATATTGATTCATAGTAATTAAATCGAGGTCATTGTGAGTTGCATTTCCTTGAAAATACGAAAAACCCCCCAAAAATTTTCCACTACCTAACCGCATTTGCCCAAAAACTTTCCATTTCAACTGAATATATAATAAAATTCGCAAATGGTAATTTTCCATTGACAAAAAAAGTAACCGTTTTAAACACTGACTGATAATAAATACCACCACTTTGCTTTGGTTTAAACTAATTTGACAATTAACAAAATTCAATTTTTTTGATTTCGTTTTTTTTTTTCATTCCACCTACTAATAATGACATAAATATCGGTATGTATATCATCGTTTCAACATTCCCAAGGTGTATATTATCACACAAAAAACAATAAGTTCAAACCAATTGAATTGTGAAGAAAATTGGACAAGTGGTTAGATGGCAAGAAATAGATAATTTCAATTGGAATAACCCTATAGTCGCGATTGTACTCTGTTTATAAAACGAAAAACATACAAGCAGCCAAGTATGGAGGAGCCAAGCGAAGCACATTAATGTACAATTATTTAGTTGAAATAGAAATTAATTAGATTTTATAATACAGTGGAATCCGTGTAAGTGAAATTGATAAAGAATGTTACTAGTTTGGAGGCCCTTTGTAATTAGAAGACTTTTAGGAGGTTTTTTATGAATAAAAGGCATTTTATATACTTTTGAACACTCAGCAAAGTGTTAAATGCTAAAGAATCAAGTGGTTTCTGTTCACATCACCATCCTGCTGATCCGGCTAACGAGCAGACTATTTTGCATCTTGAGCATGTCTTCTGCAGTGGATATGGACACATTAGTTATTTATTTTTCTAGTCTACAAAGATAAATTTTAATCTTTTTTCCGATTCCGACACAAACAATTTTAAATGTGAAGAAAGTTCCTTTTTTAAGGGCAAGTAATACTTCATATTGAACTTTTAGCAAAGTCAATTTCGGCAGGTTCACACTTTTAATTATTTCTTTCACCATGTGAAGAATTTTATTTATTGTCAATTCAATTGTGTTAAAATTCCTCAAATTTTGGTCTTGGGTCGCCTGTCAGCTACAAATGTGATTAAAACTTAGTTATATTGGTGTAAATTTCAAAATCTCGACCTATTTTGGAAAATGTTGCGAGGAGGTTTTCTACTGACTTAACTTCCACAATATACTATTATAGCCACTTTGGCTGGAAAAGGGATCAGGACTATAACACACGTAAAATTGACAGATTTCGCTACATGTCTCTAAATGTGAATTTCCATCTAATCAGAACCTGAAACAATAAATATGTTCTGCACACGGAGGGTTTATGTTCTCTAAAAACCCAAAACTCCAAATAAGAAATAATTACAAGGAAAAAAGTGTAAAAAACATAAAAAATACTTAAAATG